TTCAACAGAATATAAACAGAAAGAGGAAGAGCAGGGAGAGCAGCTGGCTGAGAAGACGGTTCACCTACCCAGTGTTTCCAAACATGGAGGGAAGCACGGTAGGGCTCTTTAATTGAGGTCACTGGCCCATCCCTGTTGTCACTGGTTAAGTGTGTATGTCCTTGACTGGGCCTCCATATAAAGCAGAGGCAGAGACAGCAATGACAGTTCTATACCATACCACTTTTTATAACTCCAGTTAATAGACCACAATGCCTTACGAAAGAGATCATAGTTCAGCTTTCTTATCCTCTCTCCTCTTTGATACAGTGCAGCAACTGTTTGTACAGGCTTTTACAAGCCTCCCTCAGCGAAAGCAAACAGCCTTTTTCTTTTTCAGGCAATACAATCTTGGCACTTGCTCCTCATTGCCCGATAATTGCTTGTGAAGGTTGGAGAGAGGGGCATGTGAACCAATGATAGTAAGAAGCAGGGCCCATTGAATGTTCTTCTCGGGTAGGGGTCAAGTGTAAATGATCAAAGGCATACACAATAGATACTGAGAGGACAGAGGGCCATGTGATACAAGCATAAGACTGGGATCCAGGAGACCTGGATTCTGTTTTCCACGGTGCCTCGGACACGTTGTTTGACCTTGGACAAGTCACTATGAGTAGAAACCTGTTTTACTTTATGAACCCGTGGCACTTACCCAACCACATAAGTGTCATTTTTTACATTTATGCAGTTTTCACACTGTGCAAAATGGCCCTCATGCATTTTAGCCTGATAACCCACGAAGCAGGGTGGCGAGGTTCTAGGTCCCTCTTACCCAAAGAGGGTTTGAACTTCCATGAGTCTGATTTTCTAGCACAAACCTGTGACCAGCAGGCCACAGGTTCAACATAACCCACTACCTGCTCCAGCCCTCCCTTTGAAACTGAGCACTGAATGTTGCACATAAATATTCCCTGGATAAATTGGAGCAAGAGGGTGGGGGGAGGGGTCTGCACTATTGGGTAGAGCCCAGGGTTTCCTTTTTTATCCTTGAGCATCAGCCATCTCACTATGCCACACAACTTACTGCTTATTTGTGTCTTGCTGTCTCTACATAGCTTCCTCTCTGAGCTGCCCAAGTGAGTAGCTTCAAAAGGAGCATTAGCTAAGGCTTACCCTGTAGCCTAGTGGTTGGAGCAGTGTCCTGGCTTGTCAGAGACATGCAAGCTCAAACCCCCCTTGATTGAATGGGGGTTGTAGGACCTGGATGTGGGCCCTGGTGACTCAACTACTGGGACTAGACTATGGGAGAGCTGAGTGGTCTTGGGTTTTTGCCAGGTACAGTTCATGACTTACACTTGCCCAGGATATGTGCATATACCTGCCGTGCTATCTAGCACAGCCTTATCTGCATGCTCAGTTACCATATGGAAGCTTATTCATCCACACGGCACATACACAGCCTGTGCATAAGCACCAAACATAGCCATTATGTGACTGGGCAACTATCATTTGAGTGCCTAAAATGAGAGGATTCTGCCCCAAAGCTCTGTGTCTCAATTCCATTCTCAATAAAAGAGTATAATCACACTCCTTTTTTGCCTGCTGAGATTGTGATCTCTTTGGGGCTCTATGTAACTGCAGATTGTAATTATTTGTAAAGAACTCAGCTCACTGGGGCCTTGAATTTGGTTAAGGTCACAGAGGAAAAATGACACTAATAGTTACTATAAGCATCCTCCTTAAAAGATGCTTTTCTTTTGTTTTGCACAGGCTGCTTCTTGGCACTTCCATCAAGTGAAAATGAAAGAGAATACCTTTCTCTAGGCTCACTACTCCCATACAACTGAACATACTCTGTAGCTTCAACCCAAGAGCAGAATCACTTCAGCCAGTGGAGTGCAGTCTTTCACCCTAGATGTGCACAGCTTGGAATGACTTATTTCTGCAGACTGCAAGGAAGAAGGAGGACTTCATCAAGGGGTGGAGGACCAGGAAGGACTCCAGTGAGGTGTGGTACGAAGATGTACATACATTCCTCACCCAAGGTAAGACAACACTGAATGCTTTTAAATATCTCACTCCCTGAGTTTTGTGAACTCTGGAGTTCAAAACTGTATGTAATGCATAAAGGAGAATAACCAAATAGCCAGTACAACTCAGTTACCTGCACCCAGTCAGTGACCATTGGTCTATTTTCCAACACCCAGCACTAATCAGAAATAAAATGCCTCGCCCAGTTGACATGATGAACTGTGCAGCAAGGGTGTCACCAACATGAGCAGAATGAATACGCAGCCAGTGGCATTACAGACTTTAAGCAGTAGAGAAAGCTTACTAGTTAAAATTAACAACAATAAACATTGTTCCTGAACATTTGTATATATGTTTAGGGGGGTCAGGTCCTGCTCAGCCTGAGATCAACTGCCTGTGGAACAAACTCTCTTGAGTCATCAGCTGTGTAACTTCACATCTGCTGCTTATAAATCCTGTGAATCCCCACAGCAAGCAAAATGATAGTGGAAGATGTAATTTGGTCTATGCAGCCTTTATTTTCCTTTGAGAAGAGCAAATAAGAAATAGTTCAGCTTCTCCTCAAAAATGATCACAATACAGAAGTTGTTGAGCGAATAGCGTGTAGAGAAAGCCAACAAAAAGGAAAGAGAGGCTAGAAATCAGTAAGGTATCTGAAATTTCAAAATTTGGGTTCACATATAAATTGTCATAGAATTTGTATAATCCTTGCCTCTTTCCAAAGACCTCAGCTTTCTACACCAAAATATTCAATATAAAAAATGCCTGGTGACAGCAGCAATGCAAAGAGTCAAAGCCTCCCCTTTACCTTTCTCCTGTGGCACTGCTCTCTTGGGAAGAAAGAAGTGTTCTGTGCAAACTAGCATGATTTCCACAGGACATAGAGGGCGGTTGCCTACAGACAGCAATGTCATTAGACACGCTCTGGAGCTCAGCCAAGGAAACTAAAGTCCCCCCCTTACGTAAGCTGTGTGTTCAAAAGGGAGGAGCCTGGGAGTGGAGCAAAGCTGGGCTGAGTCCTGGCATGGGACAAATTCCGTTTGCTGAAGTTCTCCAGAGTGAGATCAGCTGGGAAAAACAAGAGACAGATTCACTTGGGTTTCCTAGGCTGGTCCAGGTCAGGAACTAAGGAGTGAATATATTCTCTCTGGGAATCTAGTGGTGCTACTGCCAGCCAGGATACAAAGCCAGCTGGCATGTCACCTCTCCCAGACACCTTTGGGGATCCCTGGCAGTGATGAATACAGTAAGAGGCAGAGGTAGAATTGCAGCCTGTAGATGAGGGTGTCTGCATCTGCGCCTCAGTAGCCTAACTAGGGGCAGGCAAGTGGGGCTGCCGACCTAGAGAGGGTGCAAGAAAAGTAGCTATGATTGCTGTCCAGGGTACAAAGTTTCCTGGTCATGCCTCTAGTACATCTCCACATGCTTCTGATATGCACATGCATGACAAATGAAGGATCTTTAGGAGGCAAAGACATTATGGCTACCCCTGGCTCTTAGATCTGTGTTTTCCTTCTAGTGAACCCAAAGCATCAGCTGGTGTGTGCATTGGTTTGGGCATAGCAGGAATTCCTGAGACCTGTGGTGTGAAATATGCCAGTTCATCCCCAGCTTTTCAGTTTTCCTAGATCTAGAAGATAAATGTGGTTGGATACAGTTTATAGGGCTTCAAAATAAGACCTTAAAATCTGAGGCTACATATCTAAGTGCAGGTTGCTATTGCTTGCTAACAGTGCAAACTAGAATATTGGCCACAAAGTGATTCTGATGGGGTCTTACAGTGCTCTGTGGCATCACAAGTTTTTTGATAATTGATGTTTTTATTAAAGTGATGGTGCTGGGGGGGGGGGGGGGGGGGGCCAAAGGTTTTTTCCTCTCGAATTTTTTTTTTTTTATAAAAGTTGGGGGGGGGGGGGGGGGGGGGGAGGCGGTCAAATGATTATTCATCTCAGTTTTCATTAGAAAATAAACTGGCTCTCATGGTTGGAAAGGACAACTTGAAATTGTGAGCCTAGAAGGTTCAAAACTGGAAGGCAAACCAGAAGAACACTACATCTTTTCTTTAACCTCATGATGTAATACTTAAACGTGGCAATATCAGACCTACATTACCTGGAGCTACATATGTTTTAGGTTTACCTGGAAAGTAAACCCAATGCAAAACTCAACTAAACACTATGCCTCTCCATGAACAAAGGATTAAACCCATGGCTGATCATATCTGGCTGCCTCTGTTACCATTAAGGAGATGGCTTTGACTCTACTTCTGTCAATGGCTCAAGATAAGCTTATTCGAGAACTGTCTCTCTCTGTCTCTGTCGCTGCTGGAGCTAGTAGAAATGTCTGAGTTGGGAAATGTCTTCTCAGCCTGGAAAATAAGGCCTGCTGGCATGGCATTCCTTTGCTAGACATCCTTGCCAAGATGTGAATAGTCCAAATATTCTCACCCTTTGGGCATCCTCCACAGCTCATCCCTTCCCCACCCAAACCCCAGCGTTGGTACTTAGGTACTTAATAAAACTAAAGGATGGCTTTCATGATTATTGCAGTTGCTACTTCATTGTTCCTGTAGCGATAGCAGTTATGTTAGATATGCTCCCTAACTAAGGAGTCTGAGGAAGTTAATTGAAAGATGGTCCTTCTGTTAACTAGTTAGCTAAGAGACATAGGGTATGCAGAAGTTTGCTTCACTGTTAGTTTGTTGTTTGATTCTTCTCATTCATGTATGCCTGTGTTTGTTGAACCCAATGATCACAACAGTTTTCTCCATCATTTGATTGAGGGGGTTGTTCACTTCTGTACACATATATTTTAAAAGTTATTCAAGATGCCCAAAGCCACAGATTGATGCTTTTTTCTCGGATGGTACAGACCTCTAAATCAGCGATGGAGGTAGAGATGCCCCAAAAGATCTTTGCTAGGTCTATTGCCAAAGAGGGAATTGGAATAGAAAGTCTGTCACTCAAATACCCCAGTTAAAGCAACTTTAATACAACTCACCAAGTTTCACTCTTTGATTAAAGTATCATCCATCTAGAAGTAAATGCCTGACTAGGATATGTATTTTCTCACAGAGACATTGAAATAGAGAAGGCAGCCTTTTCCTGTTTTCTTGTTGCAAATTCTATCTGTTGCTTTATATTTAATTTTTTTTAAAGAAAAGCACCAGTACATTTTTAAAAACTGCCAGTATCACTGCAGTAACAAACAAAAGTGAATGTGTACCACAGATGCAATTGTTACTTATTATTGAGAGAATGCCACAAGTCAATACTATATGCTAAACAAAACACAGGAACATAGGACTGGAAGGAACCATCTGGGACATCCTGCCCAGTCCTTTGTCACTGCATACAACAGTCATAAGCATTCAATGGATCTTAATGATGCTTAAGATATGAGCAGTGTTGCAGTCATACAGCAGGAGCGGGGCATAAAATACCTGACACACCTCAATCAGTTCTAAAGCTGTGTCTCATTTTAAGCCTTGAATCATTCAGATGCCAAACTAAATCATAATGAATCACACTGGAGAGTCCATGAACCTGTCTGTGACCAGACAGCCCAGGGTAGCAGAGTATGAAATTCCATGTGCATTCTTCGAAGAGCAGGGCTATAGAAAGGAGGATCCTACTAATGTAAAAGCACATTGAAAAAAAGCCAACACATCTAAAATGTTTAACAATTGTTGTTTATTTGATTCATCCTGAATGTCTGCTTTGTCTGAGCCTAACTAAGCACATAAGGCAGTGGGAAGAAGGGCATCTGCTCTTTCAGATCTCTACTCGGAACTGCAAGGTCAATCCCTTCATCTTCTCTTCATAATCTGCATCAAATGCCTTGTTCTGGGCCTCAGTGAAGTGATTCTTCCAGTCACCTGCAATTCCTGGGGAAGAAAACCAGGGATCACTGCCTGTAGACGTGTGGGAATGCTGCTCTGACATGCTGTAATTACAGTGTATCAGAGCAGACTTGCTTAATCGAGTCTGGTGGAGTGTGTTAATTACCACCATCTTGAAGTGCGGGACACTGAATACACGAGACACTGTGGGTGCTTTAATTAGAGAGACTTTTGGGCCGCTCTTATTAAAGTGCCTCTCCCCCACCCCTGAAACACATGTAAAGACACCCTCTAGGTGCAATACTAGGCAGTACCATAGCAAGGGGGGGTGAGGAGGGCGGCTGTCCTAGGCACTGAAGCAAAGGGGCACCAACAGGTGCTACCCAGCAGAGGCCGGGTGCAGGACAGAGCCACGACTGGCTTGTTTGGGGGGTGTGGGGACAAGGGGAGGGCAGCTCCTGCCGCTTCATACACTCCCAGGCAAGCATCGGGAGGCATGTGCCACACGGATCCATGCGCAGGGCAAGGGCAGGCTGCCACTGCAGGCTTGCTCTGGGCGCCAAACTTCCTTGCTAAGGTACTGATACTAGGGCCTGTTGAAACAGAGTAGCCAGTCCCTTTCAAGGCCAGAGGGCCTGGGACCTGCCAGCCCTATACAGTCATGCAAAGTTGATGGGGAGTGAACAGGGGCTTCCTATGACAGAAAGAATAAGAGGGACTCAATGGACTGGTAGGAGGGTGCTAGTGTGAGGAAGCTGGTTCTGGTGGGTAGCTCCAGAGCACAGAGAAAGGCTTCTGGCTGTGTGCAGGTGGCAATTTTTACATTACTTAGTTAATTTTGGATTGAATTAAGAAAACTATTTAACTGTGCCCTAGAAAATGGGTCTGAGGGAGCTTGTGGATGTAGTGGGGAGGTCTTCAGGAGCTGGGGAAACAACAGGCCAGCTCATCACACCTAGCCTGTTTCCTGGCCCACACATGCAGACTGGGACTGCTCTGACTGGACAATCAGAATAGTCCCTTCTGAAACCATGGAAAGAGAGGAATGGTTACAGCTTCAGTCTGTTCCATGCTTTATTTCTTGCATTGTTCAGAGACTTCACTAGCCCTTCTCTCTTTCTTGCAGACTTTTTTATAATGTCTGTGAAGGACTCTCACCTTTTCTCATGAAAGGAGACACATTGTGGTCCATTCCAGAAGATGCCATCATTGTGTAATTGGTAGTGGGGTTCTTCTTCATCTCTTGGAATGAGGTATGTTGGAGGATCTTTTTCAATACTTCCTCCTTCAGATCCTTTTCCAGGAAATGAAACACTTTCCTTATTTCACATTCAGGATCCTAGCAAGAAGGGAGGAGCCGCATTCAGATGCTGAACAAAGGATGGGGACACTAAGAACAGATATTGATAGAGGGTCACTTTTTCCAGCATGAGCGGTGGGGATGGACAAAGCTAGAGTTAAGCATGGAGGGACTAGAGTTTAGCATGTGCATAGATTACTCTCACTAGTCTGCGTGTTATATTAGTGGGAATGATAAGGTGATGCTATTGCCAAAGGTCTTGGCAGTTTTGTTTGTCTGAGTTTAGGGGAGGCAAATCTGCAGGATCTTGCTGTCAGTTGTGATGCAATTCTTCTTAGGAGTTCAGCACATCGTGTGCAAACGTAGTCCCTGCCTGACTCTCTCTGCCTGAATGTGTGCATCTCTCTAATTACAGAACACCGCATGCTACTTGGAGACAAAACATTACGTGATGTTATATTCTTCCCCTCTCCCACCTCTTTCATGTCCTCGTAGAACAGGTACAGAATACGCTTCTCTTTCCTCTTCTCCCACCAGCCTTTCACATGGTCATACCAGGATCCAAATGCAACTGAATCAAGAAGCAGAATAAGAATATGAATATTTTTCTCTTCTCTCCACAGTGATATCAGTAAAGAAACAGGGTTAAATAGTCAATGTTCTAGGTGGATCTCACAAGAAAAATAACCTTCATGGCCTCATCAAACTAGGGGAATGATTTGATGAAGGCAGGCAAGGACACTATGTGATGAGATACTGCCTTCTAGTGCACCTGATTTACCACTAGAAGAACTGATCATTTGAGCCCTGGGTTGGGCCAACCAGTTGATCAGATATGAGTTAAGAGACAGCTACTTCTTAGATCCAGACTAGAATTTGAGAAAGGTAGGCTCATGAGGGAAAGGTGGACGTAATATATTTTATGCTTCCCTTAAAGGCCTCTACCTAACTGTGATTTGGATAAATCCATAGGATGGATTCCCAAGTATTGGAAAGCAGTTTATTTTGAGTAGGTGAGACTCCAGAGCTTAGTGCCACAGAATAAGACAAGCTCCGTGTGCTACCTTTTCCAGCAATGAATTTCTCCAGGTACTCATCCCAGGTGCCAGGTTCAGGGTGCATCTTTGCCATCTGGTAGAAATGGAAGTAAGAGACAGCTACATCCTTAGCATTTCGGGCAACATAGATTATCTGTGGAAAAGAAAAGGATGTTTGCCATGGTCTGTGTGGGCCACATTACCAAATAGCAAAGCTGGCTGATAAACAAGAAAGCAAACCTGAAAAATGTTTTAAAATTATTTCACCTGTTCTTACTGGAATTCGAAATTTTTGTCAATCTAAAATATTTCAACAAGCTCTATCACTAGCCAGAAAAGAGAAGGGTGGGACAACTCTGAATACTTTTCCTATTTTCTATTTCATCCCCCAACAAGTAAGTGGCCTGTGGGCTTCCATTAAAGCCCTGTTACTGCTGCTGCCAGGATCTCTGGGCTCCTCCTCCCTCCTCCAGCTTCTGCTTCCTGCCACTACCCCTACTGCTCATCCTTGTCTTAGATGATGTTGGGCCAGTCACTTACTTTCTCTGAAACTCCATTCCCTATCTGTAAAACAGGGAGACCACTACTGCTTCAATCAATTCATTTCAGGTTTTTGGGATAACATTTTTCTCTTGGTGGCAGTGTGTCTACAAAGTCTACACAATGGGATCGCTGCCTGAACTGGAGCCTTTAAGTGCTACTGTGATATGGGGGGAAAAAGAAAACATCAATAACCTTGCAGTTGTTTTCCCAAAAGGACACAGGAAGAAGCTGAACTGGAAGATGGGTCTTGACTAATCGAGGAGATGGGATTTGAGCCAGCAGTTCTAACCCTGGAAAATACAAGAGAGAAGCACTATGTTGGCAAGGTGTTTATGTTCACAAATATGCTGGTATGGACTGGAGAATCAAGCCTAGACCCTTTGGTGGCAGCAAGCTAACTTTCTGTGTCTCTGCCAATTATGTCCAGTATGACTGAAGCAAGATGGGAAACATAAATTGGCACTGCAAATGGCTTTGGTGGAATTCTCTTCCTAGCAAGGGTGGACGGTACAGTTACACCCCGCTATGATTCTTACCTTACCCATACTTGAAAATGAACTGCCTGGCACTGCCAGCAGCATTGCTTTCCAGAAAGAAGTGACTTCATGGCTCATTGTAATCTACCTGAATCCTGCTAATCTCTCTTCGCTCTTAATGACCTGCACTCCTTTTTCATGGTCTTGATGTTCCACTATTCAAACTATCCTTTCTTCTGCAATTTTGCTGCTTGTTAGCCATTCCTGGTAATGTCTTTCTTGTATTTCACAGCCCTGAAGACTGTTTTCAGCTCTACTGAAAAACCTGAACTCAGGTAGGATAATAGTAACGCAGGTGTACAAATGACTGACTGAAATATTGGATGCACTGTCAAGATGCTCAAGAAGGCTAGATTTTGTTATATGAATCCAAGTAGGAGATGCACATTTCATTATAATGACTAATGAAACACTATTCTTTGACTATTTTGCCTAGTTTGTTGTGTTTTTAAACTCAACATATACTCTAGCAAATTAGTGTACATGCCAATAAATTTACATTTGTTTTATAGCAAAATCCCCAGTTTTTCTTTTTTTTATTTATTTTAAAATGCATTCCCTCCCCTTCCCTAACCATTTCTGACTTTTTCTCTCCCTCTCGTTTCCCTATAGATAAGTATAAGTGAGCTTAGGATAAGCTTTAACATTTTTATTCTGGGAGCAAGTTTTTGGTTTTGGATATCCACTGTTTTATATTGTATTATTATTAGGTTTGTATTGATTTTTATTGTTTCATATGGATATTGTATGGTTTAGGCCTGTGTTTGTAAGTGAACCAAAGTCATGTCAAGCCTCCATCTTGTGTCCTCTGCCTGGGCATCCCATGTTGCAACTGTATGAGTCACATACACTTCCATTTAAATTGGTTCCCGGATGAATGAGAGTGATTGGGAATGATTGAAATACAATGGTAGCAGGCCTCTACTGAATGGCCTGTAATGACTGGGCCATCACCTCACATTGATTCACCCAGGAACCACGGACCTCACCCAGGAACAGAGACAAGAACCCAGCATTTGAAAGACAAAAGACCCTGCAGAACCAGCAACTCTACCATTGTACCCCACCATTACAGACACCCAAAACTGCACATCCCTGCATGGAGCACACATGCTCAGTATTCCAGGGGCTGACCCTTGCCTGGGCATGCCTCCTGTCACTAGGGTCACACAAGGTCTGCCCCTATGAAAAGAAGCAGTGAAGATAGATCCAGTGGGACGCCCTCTCCATCTGGACCAGCACCATGCCACACCACCTATCCACCCAGAGGCCCTGCC